TTTCCAACTCTTTATTATGAACAAAGCTACAATAAACAGGGTGTGCACACCTGGCTGATGCCAGCTCACAGCAACCATCTAGATGATAGATCTGAACCCTGTCCTATCCCATGCCATCTGACACACGTGAGTCCACTGTTGGGGTCACTGCCATCTATCCATCTCGTTGAAGGTCTTCCTCTCTTCCACTGACCCTCTACCCTTCCAAGTATGACGTCCCTCTCCAAGGAACAGCCTATCTTAGCAATATGCCCAAAGTATATGTAAGGCATGTCATTCCTCTTCATTGTCCAACCCTCAGGTGCACTGCAAGTGACTGAATAGACTACAGCTTGAATCAGGTGCATCTGAGTCTTTAAACGGACATCACAATCACCTGGAGGACGGGCTAAAACAGTCTGCTGGGACTCGTCCCACCCCAGGACTTCCAGTTCCGGAGCTTGGGAGTGGGGCCCTGGAACCTGTATTTCCAGCAAGTTTCCAGGTCACACTGATGCCATCCATCCAAGAACTACACTCTGGAAAAATCCCAACCTGAACATCCCAGGCGGGTGTTGCTGCGGTCACAGGAGCGTTAGAGAGTGGCAGGTGCCAGCCAGGTGTGGCTGCCTCTCAGCAGAACACGAACACAAAAGCTCTGTGTTGCGGGGACCTCCGGCTTGTTGACTGGACCTTGTGTGGGAGTAAGGGCAGGATGAGGAGATGGGCAGGCCTGGAGCGCGGGGAGAAGTGAGCACGCCCCTAGGTCTGCAGCTGATGCTCCGATGAACCCAGCCACAAACAACTGGCAATGAGGCGACCAGGACCTAGCCAGATGAAGAGATGATGGGCCATGCTGTCGACCCAGGGGGGATCGCTGCTACCTGATGGTTTACCCCAGGCTGGACTTTGCTTGTGGACGCAGATGCTCTGTTTCCAAGGTGAACAGAGGATCCTTCAGCCAAAGGAACGTGCTTTAGAAGGGTGGAGAGATCCCAGCTGCCGGCCAAGCTGCAGCGTGGTTGACGCAAGGGGGGACTGAGGACCTTGCAGCTCTAAGTACCACATGCTGTAGTCTACACCAAGTCCCCACTCCTGACTTTCCCCTCCCCCTAAACCGTGTTTCCATATTGTTTACAAACGTTAGCTGGGGGAGGGATGCAGCAGACTACCGTTCCATGCTCATTTACAGAGGGGAACCCTGTCCGGAAAAGGAAGGGTCCTTCTCAAGATCATTGAAGAGCTGAACTGCAACTAGAAAGGTCACTGAGAAGCGGGCAATCAGAGGTACGTGATCAAGTATTCCCATAAGCCAGCTAAAAATGCAGACCCTCCCTCAAGGAGCAGTAAAATGTGGTTAGGAAGTGCTGGGTTCAGAATATTACATGGTTTCAAGGTGGCTTCCGTCTGTATCACTTATTTGACAACAATGGCTGTGGTTCTGCTCCTGCTAACATACTGTCCATGTTAACCAGCGAGTGATGAACGCAGGGAAAGCCGAGTTACTGGAGATGGACACTGCACCCGCTAACCCCATATTTAAATGACCCTCGGTGCTGATCAGCTTTAGAGGACGGCATCTACATCTCAGTCCTTAACGCAATCTGTTCCCCATCTGGTATCGACGTCGACAAAAAAGGGCCAGAACCTTGCCAGCCTGGGTGGATCTGCTAGAACAGGAAGAAGTGTGATCTTGCTTGGGCACGCCACCTACGTGAGGCCATGAATGGACAGAACACCCCCTTCCCTTCTCACTTCATTCCCAGAAACACTACTCACCGGATACACTGAAGCCCCATGCAGGACCAGCCTTTGCTGTAACCTCCAAAATCCTTCTTCTAAAAGAGCCCTGCATACAACACACTGCCCTATCATAAACCAGACACACATAAGACGTCACGCTTCCCCCGTGTCTCAGTGAATGAAATCCATCAATGATTTTCTAAAAACAGAAGCAGAGAGTCACTGAAGCATCATCTGGTTAGAAATGCTGTTTATTAACCCCCTTCCCTTGTACAGGCTGCGTTTCAGAAACATAGGAGTATCTTCCGCGTCCTCATAAAATGAACAACTCACATTCTGTGAACGTATTTCTACCTTTTTTTTTAGAACAATAACCATTTTCTTGTTTTCCAACTTAGTTCAAGAATAGCTTCAAGTTTTATGTTTTGGGTCAAATCAAGACCATCTTGGTGTATAAGTAACTATTTCCCGACAAAGCCCACCCCCCAAAGCCCCTAAAAAAATTCTATATCCTAAGTGATAAACTCTTCTGGTACATTCAGCAAACTTTATATCAGAAAAGAAAGCGAGTAATTGAGATAGGTATTTATTTTCCTTTCGTGCACAGGAATAAATCTAGCTGGGCTTCTACACCTTGCTTTGCAATGATGTTTACATAAAATAAATCATATCCTATCAAGTTACAATGGTAATTGCTTGAAATGTAGATATGAAAGCTATACACTTAATCCACGGAAATTTCCTTCTAATTTTTTTATTCTGCAATTAAACCATCACACAAGGAAACGTTTCACCCCAAAGAGGTGTTCCCCTCTCTCTTACTTTTTTCCTAGCTAAGCCTTAACATCTCTCAGATCACACAGATACATTAAAAGCAAAGGGGGGAAAAATTAGCTTGCTGACATAATGCCCTTAAGTTTGCTGACATAATGCCCATATTTTAACTTGAAAATACAAAATCAGAGTTAAAGCATCACTTAATTCATACAGTACATTATTAATTACTCAACAGTGTCCCACGAACTTAGAAGTTTCCTTACCTGCTTTCTTCTCTGCATTTAGTAGGTTTATAACCAACGACCAAATCAAGCAATGTGCTTGTAATAGGCTGCTGGTTTAACTTTAGAAGTTTACTGGGCTGTTTGAAAATACAGAAATGCTAAGAATGGTGTGTGAACTATTAATTTTGTTTCCCACTACCTCGAGGAAGAATTCAGCCAAATTAAAATTTTACAAGACAAAATGCAAATCTACCTATCTATATTGACGTACTCATGTATATACTGAGCCTAACCAAAGTTTTATAAGCAATACTAACAGTTCTGATTACACATTCCTAAAGACTTAGTAATTTTTTAAAGATACATGTTATAAAGAGACTTATGCAAAAGGCAAAAATTAAGAATCAACATGATCTTTGAGGTTTTCAATTATTACGTCAAAAAGCTGTTACTCTCTCCCATAAAAGAAAACTAAGCATTTGTTTATCATAGGAAAAAAAATTATAAAAAGATAATGCTATCATGTAAAGAATTCACAAAAACTATGCTGTATATCCCTTAAAAGTCATACCTATTTAAGGAAAATAACAATTATGGTTTATAATGTATATAGACATCACCATCACCTTTCCTCTTTAAGGAGAGGATTTAACTTTTCCCACTTACTTAACTAGTGCCACAGAAATTTGAGTCCCCATAGCAACAAGTTAAATAAGGTGACAAAATAAGGCATTCTGCTCATATACCAGGGAAGTTAACAGCTTAGTGCACTAAAACAGGCTCTTTTCATTTTTTTTATAATAAAAAAATTATGTAGAAGGCAATCTTTACCCCCAAAAAATCTAATTAAATGTATGTTGTTTTCTGGGGAAACAAAAATGCTCAGCTTTGGCTCTTTCTCCTACTGTCGATGAGCAGGCTGGTTTCTTCTGCTTCCCTGAAGCTCAGTATCAGAAATGTGGAGGATTTTTCCATTTCTAACTCTGTAGGGCGCACACTAAGTGATTTTTTTTTAAGTTATAAATTAAATGAACTTTGCCCAAATCCCTGTAGTGTTACTGGGGTGGAGGGACGTGACTGAGAGCATCCACAGAGAACGTGTGTGAGTGCACTAACGTATTAGTGACAGTTTTCTTAAATATTGACGAGATCTCCAAAAACAATCCAGACTCTATCACCATGCTACAGCATGTCTATAAAGGGCAGCAATGCAACCTTTTTTTTTTTTTCAGCACAAGGTCAGTACTGGAATAAACTTTTCATACAACTAGTACCTTGAACGGTTATTTTACCAAGACAAACGCTAAATTACATTTATTTTTTAACATTTGGACTCAACTGCCTGTTGCACTTAAGCAATTGCTGCTTAAATTAACAAAAATAGAGCGTAATTCCATATTCTACTGTCTAAACATCCTTTAAGCGGTGGTTATGTCAACAACAGGTAAATGCACCTAATTGGGGTCTTCTGACACCTCTTCTTTTTAAGTTTATTGTATGATAAAGTTCTTCACAGTTTAAAATATTGTGAAGAGATATATTTATGTATAACTATATTCACATACATATTATGTACACAGTATGTATTCTATTTATCCCTAAACGCTGAATATGTGTCAACAAGATGCCCCACACATACATATGCAGGGAACTTGCATGACAGATTGGTGTGGGCTATGAAATGAATTCCCAGAAATGCTCAGAAGAAAGAAAATGGTAATATGATAAACACTTACAACAAAAAATTACCTTTTTTTTTTATACTGTGTCTGTCTCCCAAGAGGTACATATGCTTTACAGACACATTTTGATGTTTCTGTGATGCAAGACACTGGGGAAACCACCAATTCTTATCTCCCACAACCCAGAAGCCAGCCCAGGATCAACGCCTTCTGCAGTGGCAGGCATGAAGACTGAACTTCCAGTCTCCAATTACCAGGCGGCACGGTCGTCTGATGACGCCAAGGTTTCCACCACCCCGCGGCGCAGATCTCCAAGTCCTCACACAGTGTGATTGTGCGTTATGTTCAGACCACAGGGAGATCAGAATGATTTTTGGTTTTTGGCAAATGAAAAAAGTCTAACATTCAGTGTGATTCTAATTCAGTGTAACTTCTCCAGTTTAAGTGCGACACAGCTGATTGGTCTATCAGGGAGATGTGGTCAGCATCTGGTCAGGGCTGAAGAGTCCTCCAGGCCAACAGTGATGCGTGGTTATGGAGACAGCCAACACCCTAGCTGTGTCCTGGTGGCCTCCTCACCTCCACACTGCACACACACATATAAATAAGCACAAAATGTACAGTTGGCATCCAATGGCCCGTGTCTGGACACAGGGCCCTTACGGGTGGACTTTGAAGGCCAGGAGCTCCTCAGAGTGCATGTTGTTCAAAGACCGAAGGTCTGGCAGCTTCAAAAGAAGTTTTGTGAAAATGGAGGCCTCGTTGGGGTGGTTCTTCGTGATTAAGGTCCTTAGTGCACGGATGAGGGTCTCCTGCAGGGCCTCCACAGAGTTGACGTTCTCTATCCCAGATCGATCTGACGGAGTGCAGAGTGGAGAGAGACAGCATCAGTACACCGCTGTGAGCATTACACAACTCAGCACCACAAACGCAAAGAAAGATGGAACAAAATCAAAAGTAATCAGCATCATTCCAAAGAGCGCAACTGTGAACTGCGAAGCCTACCAGAGTGGACAGAATATACATCGCATCTCACGCTTGGAAAAACCTGGACTTCTTCAGTGCTTATGTGCATCAGAGAAACAAAAGCTTCAGACTGTTAGAATTTGTTATCTACTAATGTCACCTACTTCTAACTGGAAAAATAACATAATGTAGAGTTACGTTTTCACTTTGTAAGAAACGTCCACGTTTGTATGTTACCATGTGGATGGACAGCCTCGTCCTAGAACCCACCATTCCTCGTGAGTGGGCTGGCCTTTGCTACCTACTTCTAACACACACAGCACGGACACTTCTAAGATCAGCGTACAAAGGAACGGTGGTTTTCATCTGGACTGCTCTCTCACGCAGGGATTCAGAAAAGCCAGCCGTGACGGTGGAGGTGCCCTAGGGAAAGGCCTCCAAGGTAGGAAAGCAGTGGCTGTCCCAGCAACAAGTGGCCTGGGACCAAGTCCCACAGCCAGTAGATCCTTTCCTCCTGAAGCCAGGATCCAGCTCTGTGCTACAGCTTGCCCACAACCTATAAGAACCTTTAAACTAGAGACAAGCAGGTAAGCCAAGCTCATATTCCTACGTCACCAGCAACATTAAAAAATTCAAGTCTCACCACTGCTGTCAGGTTGTAACCGACTCCAGGGTTTTGGAGGGTCTACAACGCACGGAAGGAGACCACCCACCTTCCTCCTGAGAGCCACTGGTGGATTCGCAGTGCAATGCCCTGCACAGTGAGCCACCAGAGCTCCTTCCTTCAGAACTGGGAGATGGGGGCAATCTGCTATGCAACAATAAATAATAAGAAATAAATAATCATAAGTAATATACTATTACAATAAATATAATAATACTATATTTAATAATAATATATATACCCTGCAACTCCCTTTCTTCTAGTATACTTCACTGAACTCACTGTATGTCACTCTTACGGGCTGCTGCATAGTGTACCCTAAGTACAGTGTGTGGCCATCCTGGCCCTCTGAATGAAGGGGAAGAACAGTTACTGAGGCTGCATTACACACGAAGAGGATGCCGTGTGAGGACACGTCAACAAGGACACCAGGAGCCAGGAGCTGCCAGGAGAGAGGCCCCGGACAGTTACTCAGAAAGACAAGAAATGGCAGTTAGTAAAGGCCATCCAACTTAGGGACACAGGTGGTCCTTGGGCCATGAAGATGCTGCAGACCGACAGCTGTCTGTAAGTCAAATGTGTATGTTAAGTGGAGTAGTTATATATCGTATCTTGTGTCACTTAGTCAAACGTCTACCTTTTTAGGCATAAAAAATAATCAAAAGATACTTCTAAACACAGTAAAATAACACTAAAATGATACAGTAATAAAAATGTTTTATTAACTGTTTTGATGAACATCACTAAAGTAGTGCCCGAGTTTTGTTATTTGTGTATACCTTCGTAAGTACAGGTTGTACATACATGATTCCCGTGACCCAGGACAGACTGGATTTTGTTACAGCCACCCTCTGCAACCATGGTATTAAATTAGTGATTCACCAGGAACCAGGGACACAGAAAGAAGGATGCCTGACATCAGTCACCGCCACGCGCCTGCAACCACAGTGCTAGAAGCTATGCACCCAGCACTTGAAGTTCCAGCAACATCAGCTCAGGAGAGGCCTCCGTGACGCCTCTGGGCTTCACAGATGAAAGGCCTGGGAAACGACTGCCAAAAATTAGTGGGTCACAGACTGTTCCCAGAGACTTCAACGCGTGTGCTCGGGATGCCGTAAGGCACCAACGCTGCCGTGTGGTGGGTCAGTGACAGAAAGGGAAGTCGACAGAGGGCCTGGCACACGGCCTCAGACACACCGACCCATGGAGGGGACACATGGGGTCACCGTGATCTACAGCGGCACTCTCACAATTAACAAAGTCGACTGCCCGTCGAGGTGTTCCAGCAGCCACGGCTCCATTTCCTCCCGCACAATAGGAGGCAGCAGTTCACAGGAAACAATCAAAGGCCTCTAATACGCAGAGGGTGTGTGGTGTCAGCCTAAAGCTGGCTTTTTTAGCCATTCCCTTAGTCCCCTCTGGGGAGGGAGGAAGGGAGAAAGACAGACAGACACACACACACACACACACACACACAGTCTTGTAAATCATCAACAGCTGTGGAACATAGAATGCTTCTCCGATCAATTTTTAAATTTTGATTCATTCATGTACAATTTAAGAATATTAATATTTATGTGAATATGTATGTCCATAATATCTTCATGTTATTTCTGACAGCTGCCATCAAGCTGTCCTCTAGATCATGGTGTTTGCACGGACAACATCATGGGCCACAGTCTTCACGGACTTATTTTCTGGAGCTGCACTGTCAGGACTGGACACCAGAAGAGTCAGTGCAGCGGTACACTATCAGGACCTGAGTACAAGAGTCAGTGCTGTGGTACACTGTCCAGACTGAGTACAGAAGAGAGTCAGGGCTGGGGTGCAGGGTCAGGATCTGGGTACACAAGAGAGTCAGTGCAGGGGTGCACGGTCAGCACCTGGATACAGAATAGTGTCAGTGCATGGAGCCCTATCAGGACTTGAACCTGGGTCTCCCACAGGGAAGGCAAAAGTTCTCTTACTGCTCTTGTGTAATGACTCTGCATGTTACTAAGTGAAAAACTCCCCTGGCTTTTAATGGCTGTAATGTTTATACAGTGGTATAGTGGCCTAGTGGTAAGGAGCTGCAATGCAATCTCAAAGGCATGTGGTTCGAATCGACCAGTTGCTCTGCAGAAGGATGAACAATCTCATGCGCGACTTACCGCCACTGGAGGGTCAGCTGTGGATCAGTTCTACTGCACAGCACATAACACCAACACTCTTTACACAAGCAGGTCCCCAGCCCCGCCGTCCCCTGCACCAGGGTCAGGACACACTGCCCACCTTTACATAACTGCAGCACCACCTGCCGCCACTGACCTGGTCCCAACACACAGCAACCCTCCGTCAGGCTCTGGAGGCTGCAAACATTTACGAAAGGAGGTCCCTCTGCCTCCCTGGGACCACTGGTGGATCTGAATCCGCCCGATGCACCGTAGTACACCACCAGGGCTCCGTTCTCACGAGGAGTCATTCATCTCAACCGGACTAAGAATTCTGGATTTTTAAAGAACTCTGACAATTAGATATAGAAGAAGGGAAGAGATCTTTTTCTAAAGGCGTTAAAAAATGTAAAGATGTTTATGGTAGAAAATGTACATGAACTGAACAGCACATGGGAAGAGTACATTTCCTGGGAAATAGGTCCTTCTCACCCACGTCTCCTCAGCTCTTCCTGTGAGCTCTAGGCTGTGGTCCCGTCATATTCCTGCTACACTAGGTCAAGAGCGGTCACCCTGTTGCTGTCCCGTGGCTCACTCACATATGCCGGTGACCACATCCTCCTGCGGCATTCAAGCCTCACACCAAGCACTGCCGTGTGCACGTCATCACACGGGTGTCCTCACACGGGCTTCGTTACACGGACTTTGTCCTACCCCTGCACTCCAGGTGATACTTCCCTGCTGAGCTTTGATCCCGCAGCCAGGTGCTCCCTAATTCACCAGCCTCTGTCCTCGTCCTTGCTGACACACAGCCCAGGTTCTGACCCCTGTTCCTCCCATTCTTGGGTCCTCCCACACCTCTCCCCCTTTCCTTATATAAACGGGGCTGGGGGGCTGGGAGGTAAGGTCCATCTCTGATGTCCTAGCTCTACTTCAACTCCTTCTCTATTTAACCCAGTCAGTTTAGCAGTCTAGTTTTTGGTGCTAGCTCTGTCGCTCTAAACACACTTTACTTGGATGGCAAGCTAGTCACTCAGCAAGTAAAAAAAATTAAGAAGAACCAATTATCTTTGATTTCACAATAAAATTTATCAATCTGATAATGTCAACTCAAATCACTATGAACTATTTATCAAGAGATTCTGCCAAACAACACACAAAATTGAGAAGACACTTAAAAGATTACCAAGCAAACAACCAACCATTGTGACATAATCTTTTCATACTATTCCCACACCACGAATGACTTTTTCCTCCAGGCAGAGACAAGGTTTTCAGCTGGACTTTATGATGAATGTGGCATCAGGATTTGGGGAAGGCTTATCAATAACCTTTACTATGCAGATGACATAAACTTGCTTGCTTCAAGTAAAGAGGACTTGAAACGCTTTTTGTAGAGGATCAAGGACTACAGTCTTCTATATGGATAACATCTCAACATCAAGAACACAAAGTTCCTCACCACTGGACCAACATATCATGACAGATGGAGAAAAGATTGAAATTGCCCAAGATTTCATCATGCTTGGATCCACAATCAATACCCTTGGTGCCAGGAGATCGAGATACATATAGCATTGTGAAAGTCTGCTGTCAAAGAGCATCAAAAGTCCTGAAGAGCAAGGATATCAGGTTGAAGACTAAGGTGCTCCAGCTTCAGGCCACAGTCCTTCCAATCACTGGCTATGCGTCTGAAAGCTCAGTAATGAACAAAGAAGAGAAGAGGTGATGAGTTGTGGTGCTGAAGAAGAATGCGGGCTACCCCATGGACTGCCAAGAGAGCAAAGACAGGTCTCAGAGAAAGTGCAACCAGAACGCTCCCTGAGGCAAAGATGGTGAAGCCTCATCTCATCTACTTTGGGGCATGTTGTTAGGAGGGGTTATTCCTTGGACATCATGCTCGGAAAAGCAGCGGGGCAGTGAAGGAGGGAAGAGCCTCAACCGGATGGACTGACCTGGTGTCTGCAGCAATGGATTCAAAGGTGCTGAGGGTGATGACAGGATGTGGCGAGTCGTACCTGACTAGACAACACTTCAAGCAAGGCAGAGGTGGTCAGGAAAAACTGCTCAACTGTGCTACAGCACATCCTAAGACTTCACTTACACGACTGACTTATCCTCTAAACACAGAGCCCTCGGGCTAAACCAACCCTTGTTCCTCGCAAGCGCTAGTCATTTCAAGTGTCCTCAGCAGTCTGCAGTGTGCTGCCCCGTAAACCAGTCATTTACAGGCTGCTGGACATAATCAGGGCACAGAATCCTTTCAAGACCAACTTATTTTCTACTTTAAAAATTGTTTTAGAACTATCGGTTTTCAATAATGGAATAAATTTTTAATAAAAAGGATTTTTTACAGTAATATGTGATACAATGAGTGAGACAAAAGGTTCTGTCAAATGCATAAAACTGGTTGTTGATGAGTCTACCTGCAACACTGATGCCACATTCCTCTTTACAGAGTCCAGCTTCTGGAAGGATTTGCTTAGCGTCCAGAATAAACAAGACTGAAGAAAGGATACTATCCTGATGCACACATTTCCTGATGATGAACCACCCAGTGTTCCTCTGCTCTTTTTCAACAACTGCTTCTTGGTCTGTGTGTAGGTTCACCTGGGCACAACCAAGTGTTTGGGAATTTTCCATTCTTCTCAAGGTTATTTATAATTTGTTAGGATTTCACAGCCTTTGCATAATTAATAAAACACACGAAACATCTTTCTGGTATTCTTTGTCTTCAGTCGAGATCCACACATCAGCAATGATATCCCTTGTGCCACAGCCTCTTTTGAATCTAGCTTGAGTTTCTGGCAGTACCTTGCCAGCTTAGTATTTCAGCAGTTTTTAAAATATTCAGCAGTATTTTACTTATAAGTGATACTAAAAGACAGTGCATGATACAAGTGAACAGAGAGCGAGGAAGCAGTTACTTCAGAAGATCCAAAACTGCAGCTCACCATCAAGAAAACAAACGTCTTCACCACTGATCAATAAGCAAAAACCTAAGAGAAAAGACTGAAGTTGCCAACAATTTCATTTTTCTGAGATCCACAATCAATGCCCATGGTACTAACAGTCAAGAAATCAAAAGACATGTTGCACTGGGGAAAATTTGCTCCAAAAGATCTGTCCAAAGTGCTAGTAAGCAATGATGCACATTTAAAGACTAAGGTGTGCCTGATCCAAACCATGCTATTTTCAATTCCTACACATGTGAAAGTTGGACAAGGACGAAGGAAGACAGAATCCTCACTGATACCTCCAAAATGTGCTCCTGGTGAAGGCATGGAATATCCCAGGAACTGCTAGAACAACAAAAAAATCTGTCCACGAGGAAGAACAGGCAGGACGCTCCCTGGAAGCAAAGATGGTGAAACTTTATCTCCTGTACTCTGGGCATGCTGTCAGGAGGGGCTGGCCACTGGGAAACGGTATGAGGCTGGGAAAGGTGGAGGGTCAGCAGAAGAGAGGAAGGAAGCCCCTCAGCAAGACAGACTGACACCGTCTCTGTAACAATGGGCTCACATGAGGACGGGGAAGGACAGGGCACGGCTGACATCTGCTGTTCACAGGGTTCCTGTGAGTACAACCGACTGAACAGCACCTAACAACTGCCCGAGTTGAAACTCACCAGTAAGATCACTACAATATAAACGTAAACTCAAAACCCTTCAACTCATGGCTTCTGAGTCGGAACAGACTCATAGCTGACATTCTGACTCTGCTGAGTGTCCCAAGGCTGTAAATCACACAGAAGCTATAGATAAGGAGCCAGGAAACCTGAGAAACACCATCAGAGCCTCACATAAACAAACATCAGATGGTATAACTCAAGTGTCTCAGACGCTCGCTCACTCCTGAGTGTGTGAGTGCCCGTTCTGTGCCGGACACCAGCAGTGTCCATGGCGTACTCCGTTTATTTGAAAAGATGAGGAAATCAAACCCTAAAAGGACAAAATTATTTACCCATGTCCTACAGAAACCCAGTGGCAGAACTGTTTGTTGTTGTGTACCACTGAGAGGGAACCAACCCACAGCTGACAGTTTTCACAGGTACTAAGTCACACAGGAGGAGAGTCCATTCTTCCTTCCACAGAGCAGCGGATGGAACTGAACCGTGTATCTCTGCATTGACAGCACAATTCCTTACCCCTAAGTCATCAGAGTTCCAGAATACATGGCTCTATGTTAACAAACTGCACCATATGGCTATATGGCTATAGTCTTCAGTAATCTACTTTTAACGTTCCAGTTAAATGTGTTGTTATTAGGTGCAGCTGCGTCGGCTCTGGTCACAGTGACAATGCCGTCCAATCCCAAGCGGTCCTCACAGTCTCTACAGGGCTAAAGGCGCAGTGCCGCTGTCATTGTGGTCAGCCATCGTGCTGGGGGTCCTCCTCTCCACTGACCCTCTACTTCTCCTGGCATCATGTCCTCCCCCAAGGGCTGGCCATCCTGGTAGCACGCCCAAAGCGTCACACGTGGATTTACAGGAGCGTCACCTGCCTTCACTCAGTCTGCTAGTGTACTGGACTGGAGCACAGCAGTGCCAGCAGCTCTGCTCACCTGCAGGTCACAGCCTCCAGTGGTTCAAATCCACCAGAGTCTCCTAAGGACAAAGACGGGTAACATCCTCCCCTTCATCACTTACAGCCTCGGAAACCAGACGGGTCGGTCACCTAGGCCAGAACTGACTCCCTGGTGGGGAGTTATTTAAGCGTTGTTAATATATTAAAAAAAAAAAAAAAAAAACAGACTCAAAAAAAAATTATAAAAGCTGAAAAAATAAAAACAAAAAACCCACAAAAGCTGAAGACTAAGAGTGGTAAATGCAGTGCTCGCTTCGGCAGCACATATACTAAAGTTGGAACGATACAGAGAAGATTAGCATGGTCCCTGTGCAAGGATGACACGCAAATTCGTGAAGCATTCCACATTTTCGACCCTGAAATGAACCAGTCTCTAACGAAGGCTAACTCCTAACTCCTTTCACCTACAAATTTCGTCTTTGGATACAAAGCTAAGTGGATAGTCCTTACCGAGGGACTGTTTCAAAAGAGGCAGGGAGAAGAAGAGAGAAAAAAAAAAAAAGAGTGGTAAATGCAAGAAACAAAAAATGCTATTTTAATACTACTGACTTTTGCATAAGGAGAAAAAAAATCACATAATACATTAATGGGTTCATGCAACCGAGTGTCTTCCTTAAGGCCCTGCCACCAGCGGCCACCTCTTCCCCTGAGCATCCCCTCCAGCTGCTACGGCTCATGTGGGTTTTTGCCGTATGCTCTGAAACCAGCCTTCTTACCTGCAGACACCAGGACCACCGCTGTAAACAAGCTCATCTCTTCATCGCTAAGCTGGAGGGCATTCAGCTTCTCACTGAACTCAAACATGGAGTTGAGGAGGTCTCCGGCCCCCATTGAGTGTAAGTCATCCACACTATACTTCTTCCCACTTAAAAAGGTGACCGTACGCTCCTTCGCATCAAACAATGATGCAAACCGTACCATTAAAACCTGAAAGAGAGAGAGACCGACATGTGCTTAGAGAACCAGTGAGAACACTAAAGAATAAAGCTAAGTCCTCAAGTCAAGGAAGGAACATTGTACATATAAAAGAAAAACTGGTTACACAGAACCTTTCTCCTAAGAGAACGCAAAGTCTCGATGGAAGCAATCATACTCTGTGTACATCTAAAGGCATTAAGCCACCGACAGCGGTGTCCTGAGTCCTGCGATACTCTGAAATGTGATCAACCCAGACCTGAGACACAAATGCAGGCTTAAAGGAGGTAACAGAAGCTGTCCAGGCACAAGGGCACTCCCAGGGTACCAAGTCCGCACACAGTCTCTGAAGGGCAGCATTTCAATACAGCACCACTTGGAATAAATACAACCTCCAATCAAAGTAGCACAGAAGACTGGCTCGAGTGGCCAATTTCAAGATCCCCACCACAGAAGCCACACACACAGTAAACTGTGAGCTGAGTGTCTCAACACCACATTAGCAGTGAAACTAAACAAAATCATTCAGCTCTGAGAATGTGCTGGGAGTCAGGTAGGAGTCAATTTCAAGCTGACAGCAAGGAGGAGTGTCTGACTCGGCTTAGCTAAAGCTCTCCCTCCATTACATTAAACGGTGCCATCTATCATAAGCGGAATAATACAGAATAAAAACAAAGTTCTGTTTTACCCAAAAGAGCAGGAGTCTTCTATAAACACGGCGCTAAGTGCAGACATAGCAATTCTGGAGGCCAGTCCCGGGCTGTAGCTCTGCATGTGCTGGGCGCTGACCGCTCGTCCAGCCAAGCCTTTCCACCTCTCCAGGCCGGTCCCCTCACTTCCAGCACGAACAGCACAAGCCTGATCGCTTGCTGCCCTCCCAGCTTTGACACTCATGTGTTTTATTATTATGTGTGTGTGTGTGTGTGTGTGTGTGTGTGTGTACTGTCAAATCGGATCTGACTGGTACAGGAGGAGATTGTCCCTCCTTCTCCAGCAGAGCATCTGATGGATTCGAACTGCACACCTCTGGGATTGCAGTGCAGCTTCTTGCCACTAGACCACCAGAGCTCCCTGACACGCATGTATTTATTTTAGTTTTTTTAAAAAAAATCTATTTTGGTTGTCTGTTTTTTCCTTTTTGTGTACAGTTGAATGGGATCTGACTGACGAGGGGATTGTTCCTCCTTCTCCAGCAGAGCATCTGGTGGATTCAAACCACGCACCTTAAGAACTGTAACATAGCTTCTTGCCACTAGGCCATCAGAACTCCCTTGCAATCTGTTTTCAATGAAAGTTTATAAAACACATTTTTTTCAGACATTCGTAAGCTTTAATCATCGATTGATGCAATTAACTTATGACAATGTCTAAGCAAATCCTCGTGGATTTAAATTCTCTTCACCCATTTACTGTTCCTTTTCTCTCATCTCCATTTAATCCATCGTGTATACCCTGTTCCAGATTGGTACTTGCAATTCACCTAATGTCTGATGATCTAGTCCCTTCAGACTGATGTGCTCTTCACCTGTGTAATACTCCACTGTACAGATGTACCAAAAAGTCTCCATTCACTCTTGGGCTGCTTCCATTCCTTTGCTTTATGACTCTAACGTTTAATGTCTTTGTTGAAACTGAAAATCCAAGCAGTAAGTGCCACTTTGTATTTATTCCATAGCTATTATATCAATGGATATGGTTTTTTCCTCTAATTCCAAGGTCCCTGGAAAACAAAACCTGACCTTATTCAGGACAGGTACTGGCTTATGAGAAATTAGAAATGGGGTGGGGAATAAATGAGGCAGGAAAGGAGGATGGCAAGAAATCACTCCATCCTGTGACTCCACCTAAGAAAAAAATGGGCAGAATGTCCCCCTGCATGCTGAACAAAGTGCAGAGGTGTGGCCCGCCAGGTATCAACTCCTCCCCTACCACCTGACATTTCAGAGCTGTGTGCAACTGTGTTTCCAGGGAAGCTCCAGGGCTGAAGGCACAAGGACAAATGTCACCTGACCTCACAGGGGCTGCCCGAGCCTCGGGCAGAATGCATTGCAGAGAGGTGCTGAGCCTGAGAGAGGTCTTGTCCACTTCCCAAACACCCTGCAAGCTCCTGACAGAAGACTACATCCTAGTCTCCTTTCTTATTCTTTACTGAGCATACCAAATGCCGGGTGAGGCATTTCAGTAGATGTGGAAGACAATGCAATAAAATACAAAGTCTGTATCTGAAAGCAATACTAGAAATTAGCATTGGGTAGACGCAGAACACATGTATTTCTGATCCTCAGGAATTCTAAGTTGGCCAGGTCCCCTCCTAAGGTCCCAGCACCACCAAGCTGCCTTAGTAGTTTGGCTCTCTGGACTGTAATCCTTTAAAAACAAGTGCATGCCTTGCATCGTCAGTATTTAAACATTAAGAATTCAAACATACCTCGAAAGTCCCAGCCTTTAACAGGTTGACCTGGTCATGCTGCGACAGATCTCTGAACCCAGGAATCCGCTTTGCAAATTCCACCACTTCTTTTACTGCTGGAGTGAAGCTCATAGAAAATTCTTCCCAGACTTCGTGCCCTGATTTATGTGGATCCACGTACGGAGACTTACTCATTGGACAAACCTAGTGACACAAACAGAAGTATTCTTAAAGGTGAGACATGAACAAAGTCATTCCGCTTCTCAACCCCCATGAAAAGAACCCCCGAGACAAGTAACATCTACGAATATTAGCACTTCCTCCACTTGCCACTCAATTTACAATTCTGAGCATCACTGTGGAAGAATTCTACTACGGACATACAGGGTCTCCATACGCTAGAATCGAGTAGATTACACTGGGTTGGGTGCAGGGGTGGATTAATCAAAACCACCATCCTACCAAGTTCTCTGACAACTCGCTGTAGAACTTTTCTGGGTTCCTTCCCCAACATTGCCAGGCTCTCGGGGTTCCTCCTCTAACACTGCCAGGCTCTCCGAGTTCCTTCCCCAACACTGCCAGGCTCTCCGCGTTCCTTCCCCAACACTGCCAGGCTCTTGGGGTTCCTTCCCTAACACTGCCAGGCTCTTGGGGTTCCTTCCCTAACACTGCCTCCTTCCACTGGCACGTGGTGTCTTCAGCTTCCACTACACATTCACACACTTGAGTCTCTGACAGGCCTTCTAATTACTATTTCTTAGGTGAGGAAATGAGATCTAAGAGACCTCTGAGATATAAGCACAGAGTCACTGGCCTAATGCACACTGGGTTAATACTTCCAGGCTAATTATTTTACCCTAAAAGGGCAGAACTGCCATTCTCTAATTTCTAAAAGGAAACTACCCGTCTTAAAACGGTCACCAACTACTTACTTCATAAACAACAGAGTGACCACTGACCTCTACTTACTGAACCTGGAAATAATAACTAGAGACAGAGTTACACCTTCTCAATGTAGAATGGGCTGGGAGGATTTTTTTGTGGGGAAGGAAGGGGACAGGAAGCGAAAGAAATAGTAGAAAAACCAAAAAAGATGATGCTACATGCCCCATATATGGTATTACTAAAAACCAGCCTGTAATGTTTCACTAACTAGATCCAAGAATGGGGTGATTCTACAACCATGCAGAGTGTCACCCAGAAATACTCAAATAACCTCAACTGTTCATAGATACTTTTCCATTCTTGAGGCAGCCACTTAGTAAAATACAAAGTCATCTTTCTTCCAGTTTCACAGAATCAACCAGCCACCAAGGGAAAAACATGTAACAAATACTAGAGTTGAAAAGGGGGGAGAAAAAAAAAGATTTTAATTACCTGGCTGTAGACAATATCAAGCACTATCAAGGAACCTCATGGTTTAAACTGGAAATGATGTGATACTGCTGTTTTTGCTGAAATTTTGGTTGAATATGAACACTGTACTTTCACGTATGTTTTGAGCATTTGATGAAAAAAAAAAAACCCCACAACTTGAATAACACAAATATCATGAACCCAAAGGACGAAGCCTGTGAAAATCCTTAGAAATTCAGCCTATTCTCAAGTCCTAAATAATTAAACACTAGTTCTGTATCCCAAGGCCTTTCTATAATACACTAATTAAAGAAAAGAGTTGACATAAAGGGCAAAGAACCAGTGGTAAGGAGTTGTGCTGTCAACTCAAAGGCACAGGGTTCGAATCCACCAGCTGCGGAATTCCCAGGAGAGGGAGAAAGATGGGCAGTCTCCTCCCATGTGATTTACTGCCTCTGAAACCCCGCTGGAGGGTCAGCTCTGAGTCGGCTCCAACTGGATGGTATAGAATAACTTTGGCAAGCTAAAAACTTCAGCCCTATGATGAAATGCAGAAGCCATTACAACACTGCCTTACCAGTGTACTTCAATTTTAAAAGAGATTTTCAAAGATTAAAGAACCAATTTTGCATGATTCATATTTTACATAAAATCTAAATTCTAATCACAGTATCAATCAGATCACATGCCTGTCCCTAGCTCAGTAAATTAGGTCATTTAGCAACTGAGGTTTGCTAAGATTATTTGACCTAAAATGCTGTACAACTCTTAGGTTTCCTGAAACCCCAAATCATTATACCCTGAATAAAAGAAAGCCTTTAAAGCTTTCCTTGATCCAAGGTGACCAGAAACATTGATTTCACTATACCAGGTGCATTCTCCCTCCAGTGTTGCACAGGTAACTACTGTTCTCATTCTGAGCAAATCCATCTACTGGAACTCTATCACATACTCTTTGAGGGTAAGCAGTGGAGAAGTTCATACAATGTCCACTGGCAAGACAAAGGCCATGCCCGTTTGCGTAATGCATTATGTTCCTCCCTTTGTACTGTCCACTGAGACACTGCTGGCTCTCCATACAGGGAAAGTGGCTGCTCAGCCCACTGCCGCCGTGGTCATGATTCAGGTTGTACGGCTCCAAGTTCTTGGGAAGCCGCTCCCCTCTCGGGGGCGGCATGGTCTCAGCCGAGTTCTCTCGCTGCTCCTGATTATACATGAAAGTATCCTTGTGGGCCCTGGTCACCAGGCCGACCACTTCTTCCTTGGCAAAATCAGAAGAGGGCGAAGCCGCGCATTTGCTGTCCTGCTCCGGCTGGGGCTTGGGTCGCAGCTGCTCCTGGGCCGGCAGGGCCGGCGGCTCGTGGTGCCCTCCTAACGCGTCACTCTGCAGGTGACCGCCAAACTGGCTGTTCATCATGGTCTTCATTGCACTCTGCATCTCAATTAGCATCCTCTGCTTTTCACGCTTAGGGATACGACCGAACCGAACAGCTAGTGAAGAAAAAGATATTTAACATCGATATTCTAACAAAGACCAGTTAGCACAAAAGAACACACAATTACCTCTGAAAGATACGGCCTGTAGCCAAACAAGTAAAACCGTCTATACCCAGGGGGGCCTTAATGATTCTCATCTTGCTGATTTATGTTCTTTGAAGCACCAAAGAGGGGGAGAAGCAGGGAAGAAGTTCTTTTATTCATTCCAAAACAAAGATAAGAAGGTGATCTACTTCTTTGTTTTTTTAAAAAGCTAAATCGAAATAAGATATATGAAATGAACCAATGTAAACAGTAGTTGTAAGCAGACCAGCATTACGACCCAACATATTAACAAGGTTGAGGGTGCAGTTCTCAAGAAGGCATGTGGGGTTCACCTGTTCGTACCCATGAATGCTAACAGAACCCAATGAGTACCCTGAACAATGAACCCCAGGTCACGTCACTGGTGGACACTTGACTCTCAAAAGCTGAAACCACTCAATGAGCTATTTTCTTCTGTTCTAGCTTCTCCAAAAGAATATAATCCTTTAAAAGCAAAACAATCAATAAAGTTGACATCTGGAATAGGAGTTTGCTGTATTTTCATTCTCTAAAAAAAACACTAGTGATTTACTCTGCAGGTGGCTGTTCCGCTAACTCAGAGGCCATACCCTCTGGTGGTTCAAATCTACCAGCAGCAACTTGAGGGAAAGATGGGCTCTCTCTTCCATGCAATTTACCCCTTAGAAAACCCGCTGCAGGGTCAGCTGTCAGTTCTGACTTGATGGCAATGAGTTTGAGGCTTTTCAGTATTTGAAACCAAAAGAATAAATAAAAATGAGACTGTTAATTCTCCACAGTTTTAGAAACCAGCCTTAGAACGGATCCTATCTTTAACAATCCTAACCCCTGAGAGAATAAAAAGGAAAAGCCTCTTTCTGGCCCAATGTTTATACAAAGATGATAATTCAATACAACTCTTATACAAACATGGAGAACAATTCAATACAATCCAACATCCAGCAAAAAAAACTGGAACCAATCTAATCATAGTCTCTAACCATTATCACTATCAAAAACAATTCTAAGTGTTTCCACCAAAAAAGTGTCATCATTTTTTTCTTTTTAAGTGTCATCATCGACCCTGGATTTAACATTTCAAGTTCTATTTAAAAAAAAAAAAATTCAGGTAATTGAAATCAAAGCACCAATTGCTGACACGTGCTGTTCAATACATTATTTCTCTGACAGAGATGAGACAGTGGAGTTAGAGTAACTTACTCAAACAACACTTCCCTAGATTCATTTTCAGCAATTCTTAATTAATCCCAGTAGATTAAACCTCTTCATTACTTACAATAAAACGAGATTCTCCAAAAATAACTTCCCTAAGCACAACAGAAGAGTCAGATCTTCACAAGCTGTCACCGGCAGATATTACTAAAGTTGCACAAGTTAGCACAAAACTTCTTTGCTCTATGAGAACAGATTTCGCCAGAACGGAGCCCCAGCCTCCACTCTAGCCCCAGGTCCCTCCCGGGGCGCACATCCATGCCAAGAAGTCTCTATCTGAGCCCCAGACACACATTATCCTCCAGAGCCAGAAGAAGGGATGGAAGTCACACAAGAAGTCGTGGGGTCCTCGGCCACGTCAAGACATCAAGGGCAGAAAGCCTAGGATATTTTAAAAATATTTCACTAAAGATTGGGGAGGGGAAAGGAAGACTGGGGAGCGCAAAGAAAGTATTTGAATTTAATATGTAAAATTTAAAAAAAAACCAAAAAAACAACAACCCAAACTTTCCAACAAAAAGCAACCAAAAAAGCAGCTAAGCCAAAAACTGTTTCTGGACAATGGCACTAAAACTTGGCTCTGCTGCGTCAGCCTCCTCCAACACATCAGAAAGGGTTTTCTGAATTTCTGAATTCAGCTTCATTCTAAGCAGAGAGAGACACTGCTAAGTGGTTTCTGTTCTGGGCTACGCTCAGGAGTTGAGAGCTGAGCTACACATGCTTAAACACAAGGCGTCATCAACCAGGAACGTACCATCTCTTGACATGCCGACAGACAGACACTTTTTGAAGCGACACTGCTGACATCTGTTCCGGTTCATCCTCATTATGGAGCAGTTTTCATTCTTCAGGCACTTCTTGTACTGGATGTTTTGCTGAATGCTTCTCCGAAAGAAACCCTGAGAACAGAGGAAAATGGCCTCACATGTTTAAAAACATCCGCACCAGCTACCAAGCAGCTAGCGAGGCGTGGCTCCAGGCCTCACTATCCAGTATACATGTAGGAAATCATTTTGGCTTAGAGAGAAATACTAACCTAGATAGAACTAAGTGAGTACTTCCCAGCACCACCAAGCACCAACACCAAGAAGCCTCTTCTCCCCCTGGGAGATCTCTCACTTTGCCCCAGAGCATCATCCCCTATACTCTGTCACCTGATCTGCCTATCGCCACATTTTCCATCAATACTTCTAATGGCATACAAATTCTAAACACTACTGAACTATAAAGAGCTGGCTTCTGAAGAACTAACAGTGAGATGTGTTCAACGGCTGTCATTTCCTACCTCATTTTCTGGATTAATCCAGCTTGGTCATTCAATCCAGCTGCCACTGGCAAGACCAGGATCTAGGTGCCAGATGTGAGCAACAGGCATGCGTTACGCTACAGGCCCACAGACTCAATAACGTACCAACGAAAGACAACTTCAAAAACAATTAAAACGCACGCTGTGGAACAAGTTCAAAAATTCCCAGCTCTAATACAAGCTGAAGGTCACCTTGTGGCACTGGGGCGTTCCCTAGGAGTCAACATTGTTCTTAGTTTGTGTCAAATGACTCCCTCCCTCTTGATATTAGCATAAAGAGGCCTTATCTGTAAAAGACTTCACCATTATCCTTTGTTTTTGTTTTGTACTTACTTGTGATTTTACTTTGTTTACCTTCCTTATGATTCTAAATAAATACTCAGAGAAGCATGGCTTGAGGCCTTCAGTCATGCAAACTGTTGGCCCCCTGTTTTTCACCAAAAAAAAAAAAAATCCCAGCTCAAAGGTTCCAAGGAGGACAGGAAGCTCAAGAACAATACCAAAATGTATACCTGCATTTTCCTTAAAGCTCATAATCACACATCTCATGAAGCTGGACTAAGTAGCTAAGGATTACAGTAGCTAGAGAGCCCTCATGGCCTAGAGTTAAGGAGCTGAGCTGCCAACCCAAAAGTGTGCAGTTTGAATCCACCAGCTCTTCCACAAAGAGAAGATGGGCAATTCCTTTTAAGCGATTCACAGCTTAGGAAAACCCATGGGAACATCAGGTATATATGTATGTGTGTGTGTATATATATATATATATATATATATATATATATATGTGTGTGTG